CAAACGGGGCACTTCTTACACCTGAAAGGAGGCACTCACCATAAATGAGATAGGGCACTTATGAGTATGGGAAATGGGCATTTGTCGACTAAAAAGGGGCATCCATCAGAAATTGGTTTATCAGAGGTGAAAAGGGGCATTTATGAAAAGGGGATAGGTCCCTTATTGGAAAGGAAAAGGGGCACGATTCAAAATAAAAGGGCAGTTAGCAAAGGTGAAAATAGGCACCTATCATAGATGAAAAGAGTACTTATCAGGAGGGGAAGGGGTACTTTTCAAAGTAAAACGAGCATCTCTCAGATTTGAATTGGGGCAATTATCGGAGATGAAGAGCGCACTGAAGTGAAAAGAATTAACTTCTCATATATGAAAATGGTCATTTATCAGAGATGAAAAGGGACACTTTTTATTTATGAAGGGCCTCATTTTTCTAAATAGCCCTTATCAGATAGGAAAGGGGGCACATGTGTTGATGAAATGTGCGCTTATCCGAGTTAAAAAGGGGAAGGGGCACTTCTTTACAGAGTAAAAGTGGCCGTTTGGGGGTACTTGAAAAAGTGGGGGAACTTTGCCCCCTACCCCTGCCACCCGCCCCATCATCTGAAAATCCAAAATGATGTTGTAGGGGCCGGGCGCGGCTTTATCATGAGTGCTTTTAGGTGAACCTCTTTTTTATAAATATATTATGCTGGATTCCGACCCAGATTGCACACTCTAAAATGACAGTATGATCATCCCCAATACGCTTGTAGTTCACGTATGCACCCCTTCCTCCTAATCCATCGTTGCCGTCACTGCCATTTACGTATGGCCGGCCGGCGTATTTTTGATTTACACGCTAGCGAGGGAAATTTCTCGATTAATTCCAATGAAACCGCTTAAAATTCCAATGAAACCGCTCGCGAAGTGTCTAGCCTGGTTCGGAGAGCTCGCTAGTGCTATACGCTAGTGTGAATTTACATCCAGGAGAAAGTTTGCTTAACTTTTTCTTGAAAGACTTGAACGCTTATGGAAACTGTTTGTGTTTCCTATCTCCAAATATCAATATTATTCTGCATCAAATAGAAAACATTGATTTCTACTGTGATATGTAAAGGCACGAACTTACGTTAATACATACACATATTTTTTTGTAACCAAGAAGGTGCACCATGGTAATACATTTTAACAAACACATCAACATGTTACCTAGACAACTCATCACCATAGCCATTGTAAAACCGTATATTAATGATACATGTAAAATATAGATTGAAGCAATTCTCGTCGATTGGCTGTTCTGCATCAAATAGAAAACATTGATTTCTACTGTGATATGTAAAGGCACGAAGTTACGTTAATACATACACATATTTTTTGTAACCAAGAAGGTGCACCATGGTAATGCATTTTAACAAACACATCAACTTGTTACCTAGACAACTCATCACCATAGCCATTGTAAAACCATATATTAATGATACATGTAAAGTATAGATTGAAGCAATTCTCGTCAATTGGCTGGATCCTGAGTGTGATTTATATAATGGATTTTGAGTAACATTTGCATCTACCTGTAGTTGAAGAATAGTTACAGTGTATAACATCAATTAAGTTGGAACAATTGGAAGGAAGTAACGAGGAATATTAAAGCAAGGGAGACTGGGAGATGAGAAAAGCAGGAAGTTAGAAATTGAGAGATTACTCGCGAGATAGCCTTGCATTAATAAATCCTTTATATAATGTTGTCTTGAGAGAAAGTAGACAATTTTTTTTTTAATTGGAGATTAGTGCAAGTATTAGATATATTGGAAATGGAATTAATGAGAAAGTTATTTTTTTTTATCAAGATCAATACATGGGGGGGGGCACCATCAAAATAGGGCACTTTCTGGAATATAAGGTGCACCTACAAAGGGAAACATCAAAATGTAAATCTACCATATTAAGACATGGACGTACGCGTAACGCATGTCACCCACAGAAAAATGAGAAGAAAAGAAAGAATAATGTTTTTAAAAAAGAAGAAGATAGAGGAACCTTAACTTTCCGACTTAGTTGGCTCGACATGTGCTTAAGTAGTCTGCGGACGAAAGTACAACAATACGAAAAACGTTATATGAAATTGTCTTTAAGAGAGAAAGAGAGGTTATTTCTAAAATGAAATGAAAGGGGCTATGTGACACTCAAGGAAGAAATTACAATTTCTATCGCTCATGAGTTATGACGACTATTTGGAATTTCCTTAAAAAAATTAAAGTTCAAGAACTTCCTAGGGCTCCGCCCCATGCAAGACTCTCGGCAACAGCAAATTATTTACACAATTTCTTGCTGTCTGCTGCCTCGAGATCACTGGAGCGAAGAAAGGTAACATATAGCAAGAATCCCTATTAAGTGAAGGATTTATCCCTTTTATTATTAAAGACTCCCGGCAAAGGCTCTCCCCCTGCAAAATTGGAGAGAGTTTTATGTAGTTTAAGCTTCTAACAACCACTCCCGTGGACCATTTATTATTTACACAAAGGTAAAAGTGTATAGCAAGAATCCCTATTCAGTGAAGGATTCATCCTTTTTATGCAGATGCTTCTTCTACCGTTCTTGACCAGAAGTGCGTTTCAAACTCAATGAAGTGGGCATCATCCCATTGAATGTTGTGTCCAGTGTTACGGGTTTGTTTTGCTACTTGCTGCCTAATCTGAGGGCTCTGTTGTGCTCTTTAAAAAGAGGACACAATAGGGGCAGCGCAATTTAAATATCAAGGGATGTATTAGAATTTATTTCTAAAATGAAATGAAAGGGCTATTTGACTTTCAAGAGCGATAAAAACTCTAATCCATCCCTTGAAATTTAAATTGCACTGCCCCCATTCAGTGTGCTATTTTCAAAGAGCACAAAAAGGCTTCAGATTGAAGATTCCATCTCATAAAATTGTCTATAAGAGAGAAAGAGATCCTTATTTCTGAAATGAAAGGGCTATTTGACTTCAAGAGCGATAAAAACTCTAATCCATCCCTTGAAATTTAAATTGCACTGCCCCCATTCAGTGTGCCATTTTCAAAGACCACAAAAAGGCTTCAGATTGAAGATTCCATCTTATAAAATTGTCTATAAGAGAGAAAGAGAGTTTATTTCGAGAGAAAAAATGAAATGAAAGGGCTATTTGACAAGAACCCTTTCATTTCATTTTAGAAATAACCTCTCTTCCTCTCTTATAGACAATTTTCTCTCTTGAAAGTCAAATAGCCCTTTCATTTCATTTTAGAAATAACCTCTTTTTCTCTCCTTTTTTCTCTTGAAAAGGCTCTGCCAGGCCCCTCAAGCTCTGCCATGTTGTATGGATCCATTATAAAGCAAAATAAGCCCACTCAATAATTAATATATATTAAAACGTCATGTGCAGCGATTCATCCAAATAAGAAATCCACGTAAGAGGCATTTTGAAAGTTTTAAGAAAATTCCTTCAAATTCCAGGATATTGGGTGTTATTTTTCAGGAAACTCTATTTAAACGAGTGGAAGCACTGGCGGTTCTGTTTTTTTTAAACTGTAACAATTCTCCTTGGATCAGATATTGACCAAAAACAAGCCTCATTATCTTAAGTATACAAGAGTCATTTCGGACCTTACAGCTTTCATAGAAATCGCTTCTGGACCGTCAAAGAAAAAGTTTGAGAACCCCTGGTCTACGCATTATACACATCAGGACCAACTTGACAACTAGACAAAAATTTGAGGGGGGGGGGGTTCGACCCCCCCCCCCCCCCCCCCTGCGTACGCGCCTGCATGTGCATCCCTTCCTCGTTATTCCCTTATCCATCGTTACCGTCACAACCATTTGAGTAGGGCCGGCCCCCTCTTCAATAACGGCTCCCAAGCCATCAAGAATGACCCCAGAATTTATAGATTACCATTCTGCCGTTCAATCTTTGGAGGGGCCGGGCGCGGCCTTTTCAGAAGTGTTTCTACACCAACCTTTTCATGCACTACGGCTTAACATAAACAAGCATGCTAAGATTTTTTTGAAAAGAAGCATAATTCCGACTCAGTTTCGCATAACCTAAAAATAAGAATACGACCAGTCATCCCTCCCCCCTCCCCTCAATGCATCCGCCTTCACGCACCCCCCCCCCTTCCCCTTGTCTTTCCCTTATTCGTCGTTAATGTCACTAATTTTTAGTGCCATTTCGTTGTCTTTCTTTCTCCCCGGCTCCTCTCTTCTTTTTCTTTCCTTTTTTTTTTTTTAACTCTCTCTCTTTTCTTTTCTTTTTTTTTTCTTCCTCTTTTTTCGTTCTCAATTTTTTGCGCCGCCAATAGGGGGGCCGCGGCCGTTTCGGCCCACCCCTGGATCCGCCACTGTAGATAAGAGAGAGAGAGAGGAGGGGAGAATAAGGGAGAGGAGAGAGAGAGTGGGAATATTAAACAGGAGAGATAGGGGAGTATAGAAGATGAGAGAGGGGAGGAGAGATAAAGGGAAATGTAGGTGAAAGGGAGAGATATATAGGGGAGAGGCCGGCCGGAGGAGAACTGGAGAGAAAAGGGAGGAAGGAGAGATACATGGGAGTGTAGATAGAGAGAGAGGAGAGGAGAGCGGAGAGGAGAGAGAAAGGATAGTATAGTGGATGGAAGATGAGAGGGGGTGGGGCCGGAAAAGATTTTTGTTTTTTGTTGTTTTTTGTTTTTAGTTGCCATCGTTGGAAATAAAGGCTACTAAAAAGTTCTATACTCGTTATGAGCTAGGATTGTAATATCAGTCTTTTTGACGAAAATGAATTCTAGTGAATTGAGCGAGCCCCAAAATTATTTACAATTGAAACTTCTCTCGAACATTCAACAGCAACAAAATCTATCATTCCTAGATCCTAGTTACCATTCTCGCCCTGTAAGTGGTACTACCATTCACCCCACAGGCACAGCCTTAATTCGGGCTGTCCTATTTAAAATCTCTCCTCTCCCGTTTCGTTCTCAGAACAGGTGATGCATGGACGCAATAATCTTGTGAATTTTTTCCATTTCATATACATATATTTTTATTCCAAAATGATTGTGGATAATCAGATTACAAAGGGTAACCTGCTTAATCTGGAAAAGATATACTGTTCATGTGTATAAACAGACACTCTTTTAAACAGACTACCATACATATGTAAACAAATAATGACGTGCACTCAAGATCCGCGGCATAGTAGTCGAAGTAATGCGTGCAGTTTTACATGTAGGATCGAATCCAGGAAATCTAATTGAGGTCGAGCCAGTCAGCTGAGCTGAGTAATATGTTGGATATAGATAACGTCTATCGGTGAACAGCTACCAGAATCTACATTGTTGCATTTTCGTAAGTTTTTGATTGTTATTTTTTGCTTGAAATTGCTTGTCATTGTTTGTATAAGCTGTACGCTGTGTACTGGTTTTCCAAGACAGCCAATTCGTCGTGGTGGTAGTACGGTCGATGGAGCTCACAAGCTGTGCAGCTGTGCCATGGACCTCGGCGGTGCAGTGCGGTGCCTTGAGCTGGCTTGATTGCGCAAGATATTATGAACCATCTCTAGGGGTCTATATGTGGAGCGTTTTTTAGAGTGAGGGGGGATTAGCATGCAAACAAAAAATATAGTATTTGTCATTATATATCTGATTTTATCCTCTATTACCAGAAAAGATAAATGAGGCTAGATTAAAAATTTACTCAAAAAACAAATTGTTTGAAAAGTAAAAATCTAAAAGAGTGGTAGACCAAAAATTCCTGTCTCTTTCGTTCTTTCGCCTCTGATATGGGTAGGGTCGGGCAGGTCGGCTCCTAAAGAGAGGAGCCGACCCGAGAGGAGCCGACCTTACCCAAATCAGAGGCTAACGAACGAAAGAGACAGGAATTTTCGGTCTACCACTCTTTTAGATTTTTACTTTTCAAACAATTTGTTTTCGGAGTGAAATTTTTAATTTAGCCTAATTTATGATACAAACAACCAATTACATGAGAACATGTGTTACTAATGACATCTAAGTATATTTACAAAATTGGTGAAACTCGAGGTTGTTTTGGCGATGATTGAATCAAAATTTGCAAGTAAGAGAAATTAGGCGGATCCGGGCTAACTTGGACCAGGGGACAACTCGGCCCAGCTGCAAAAACTGTCATTTTTTTTCATTTTACCCTAACTCTAACCCTAACTCTAACCCTAACCCTAACCCTAACCATAACTGGTTGGCTCAAACAACCAGCAATTACCCCGAAGAAACTCAGTCTGCGCAAATTGGATTTGACTTCTGGTGTGCTTTATTCTTGAGAAGTCGTAGTAACAATTCAATCTGTATAAAATGAATAACAAGAATACATACAGACATTTAGCACATGTAAATAAATACTTGTGTATTGCACTTAAATTTCTGTGCTTGTGTTTTCATTTATACCTAGTAAGAATAACTAAGTCTGTAAATTATTTCTATGATTTATGCTCATGTAACAGTTTGAATTTGTCTTTATATTTCAGTTAGTAAATTTCTCATCTCTTCCTTATCCATTATTACATATTCATTTATATATTTGCATTCTTCATTTGCATATTCATTTTCCCTGCTCATGTTCCCATTTCATTCACCTTCTTACAGCACAGTCTTTCAGTTGCACTACTGCCACACCTTATTTTCCTCTCTCTCCTTCAAACCCATTCCCTTTGTTGTCTTCTGATTCTCTATGCATGGTTGCCTTTTCCTGCCCTAGCAACATGCACTTTCTCTTCTCTCATTCGTTCTCTTTGCCTCTCACCTTTGATCTATCTAGCCTGTTCACCTCATTCGTTTCTCTTATCACATGACTTTCCCCTGATTGGTTTATTTTGTTATGATGCCTGAGTTGTACTCAGAGCCATGTTATAATATTGAGTATTAAAGTTAGTTCTGTTCCGTCCTTCTTCGTGTGAGGTTGTGTTTTCTACTGTCTTGGTTTACTTAAGTTTTGTTGGAGAGTTTGGATTGTTTTTGATGCAGCATGTTCGATGATTGATTTTGGTTTATAAGTTCCCTCGGTTAATAAACACGTTACAATTGGTGGCAGCGGTGTTTCTGTGTTTTATCCAGATTATTTCGGACCAATCTCGCCATGTCGTGCTTTCATGTTTTTGCTGCTGTTTGCCTGTACCTTGCTTCTGTTTTCACCCTCCTTCAGCAAGCTTGGTGCTAATTAGCAAGCTATATCATCATACATCCTCTTCTTCAACTTCAAGCTCGCCATAGTTCTACGATTATTTTGGTGAGTCACCAGTTGATAATTAAGTGTAGTTCACCCTACTTCATTAATTGGGACATACTTGTTGTTTTACAAGGTTCTCCCTTCTTGGTTAATGTGGGTTATGCTGACTTTTCTTGAATTGTTGATGTACAAGACTCATTTTCACCACTCGAATATCAGTCTTATTGTACTACTTGTGGGTTACCTCGTTTAATATTGCTAGCCTTGTCGCAGTTATTCTTCATGCAGTGATCCTGTTGAGCCAGCTTTGAGGTTAATCTTCCTTTTTCCGCCTGTAACTTGCATGTACACCACCTGTACATGTGTATGTTCATCCTTCATCAGTTTGATACTTGGATCAGCAGCTCAGGACTTGTATTTTCTGACAATCATTGATTGTTCATGTGGCATCGTACTCCACAACTATTTGTCTGCTATACATACTTCCTTCTTCAGGTACTTACCTTTCACAAGCTTATTTAATTAAGTCTTCGTCTAGTTGTTGGAATTGATAGAGCAGCTATATTTTCACACGTAATCGGGAGTGAGTTTTTTTTCTGCACCCCTGTACATCTACTATACTTACCTCGTAGTCCAGCCTTTCTTCACCGTCGCCTGGCGTAGGTTATTGGTTGGCTACATATAGTTATTGTACATTATATTGCTGTAGACGACAGTTCTACTTACCATGTTCCGGATAGATTTACCCGAGATTTTTACCGGGAAGGATGGGAGAGATTTTGCCCAGTGGGCAAAGCATCTGAAAGTTGCAGCCGAAGTTGACCCTAGTACAGAGAGTCGTTTGCATGTCCTCCTTCCTTCTCGCCTGGCTGGATCAGCTTTTACGGTGTGGGAGAATCTTCCTTCTTCAACGAGGGCAAGTTTTGCAGAGAGTGAGAGAGCGCTTTCTGCTGTTTTTGGAAGAAAGAATGACGTTGCCGCATTCCAGTCATGCATTAACGCCAGGACTAGGCAGGATGATGAACCTTTAGAGGTTTATGCAGCCGCTATCACAACTTTAGTACAAGAAGCCTTCCCCGAGTATGGGGAAAAGGCTCAAGAGGGAGAGATGGTCCGTAGATTTGTTGCCGGTCTAAGTGATTTCCTCCGAATTCGCATCGATGAGCTTGGAGTCTCAACCTTCAAGGAGGCCCTAGATTTTGCTCTTCAGATTGAAAGAACCCGCCTAAGGCATGCCCAAGTTCCTACTCCAGACACTTTTGTTAAAGCCACCCGAGATGATCTTATCCGGCAGCTGGTCAACCGACTGGAGAGAATGGATAAGAGGTTTGACCACCTGGAAACTCAACTCAGCCATTACCGCTCTCAAGACAATGATGTTGATAGGCTGAAATCACAATTTAGTAATCACAACCTTCATCATTCACGTAGCCCTTTTGCAAGGCAAAGATCACAGAGCCCTCAACACAGGTACACTGAGAGGTATGACCAGAGTTCCCCCCAGCGCTACCACTCACCATCACAACGCTACGAGTCTTCATCTACAAAACGATATCGATCACCAAGTCCTCGACCCAGGTACACCCTACGTCATGATCAGTACCGTTCATCGAGTCCAAGTCATGGTCGTCCATCGAGTCCAGGTCATGGTCGTCCATCGAGCCCACGTCACAGTTATCCATCTTACAGACCCCGGCAAGACGGACGAGCCTCCTACCAAGACGCCTTGTCTCGTCACCCTGACAGCCAGGAGGAGCCGCAGAATTCTCGTCCTTCTTCCACTCAGAGTTCTCAGGTGTGCACCCTTAATGCTACATCCTATTCTTCGGTTGGTACCCAAACCATGTCTGAATTAGAATCAGAAGTTCCTCAGCCTTCATCTTCCCCACCAACCTGCCTCCAAGGACTAGAGCCTAAGCTTCTTCACCACCAGAGGCTAGACAGAGACCTTGAAGATATCCGGCACATGGTTACCAATAATACAAGGCCAACTGTCAAGGAAATACGTCGCAGCCAGCCTGGAAAGCGCAGACTTCTTTGGCAGCTTTCTCGTCTATCCATCCACAACGATATCTTGTATCGCACAAAAATGGACGAGAAACGATCAGTTAAGCTCTACCAAGCCATAGTCCCAGAAAGCTTAGTGCAAGAAGTTTTGAAGCTTCTTCATGGTCACCCAACTTCAGGACACTTTAGTGCAGAACAGACTCTCGAACGAGCGAAGTCATCCTATTTCTGGCCCTACATGCATAGAGATGTCCTTGATTTCTGCGAGACATGCAGGGCATGTGAGACGATTAGATCACCTAATCCCAGCTACCACGCCCCCCTCAAGAACAGACTCAAGCCGTACCGATCCGAGTGGACTCCACGTACCAGGGCTGACGTCCGATCATCTAACACGGACGTTCCTCCTACCTTCATCTACCTTCACCGTCCTTACTTCACCCCTCTGTCTGGTTCCCTACCATTTAGGGACCAGTCAGGGAATGCTACCCCCCTTCTTCCAGTAAATAACCCACCACCTGGGTTACTTGTTCCACCATCGCCAATTCAGGGACCGGCTGGACTTCTGCCAACACCCCCGGGACTACCTCCACCACCCCTGGGACTACAGCCACCACCCCCAGGACCCCCAGGACTTCCACAACGACCCCTGAGACGACCAAACCAAACTCAAACCAGATCTGGACGGGCTGTCGTCAAGCCGACGAGATATGGAGATTTTGTGTAACATTGTTTTTGCAGTCATTTCTTGTTTAAAAGACAATTTCCAAAAACGTGCAAGACAAAATTTTGTACGGAAAAAGAGAAGAAAAAAAATTGATATACCGGTACACTCACAATTTTAGTTTTAAATGCGAGATATCAAATAGTCAAGGAGATTTTGATCTTTTCTTTTTTGGTCTCAGCAACAGAAGTATTTTTCTGTTATTGTTGTATAAGCACTGACTGCAATCTCAATATTTTCAATGCTATTGATGTAATGGATCTGTGTAAAGTACAGACATGACGTTACTACATGTAAGCACTTTTTTTTTAAAGATAATGTAATATGCTATTCATGGATTCAATTACATGTATTCATGAATTTGGGGAATTTGTGGAACAAAGTGTTCTTATTTTGTTTTTGGAGATTCCAAATCATAACT